TGCTCTCGATGTTTCTTCAACGAGTTTTTCAATGTATGCGATGTGGTCTTGCTCTTCCTGGGTCAGCATCGTCTCCGAAGGCAGCCCTGATGCCACAGAGCTTTGTGCTGGCCATGATGGCAATAGCGTTATCGATCCTTCTATTTGCAGAGAACTTTCTCGGACACTTTGACTTGGATAACTTTTTGTAGTGAATGTTTCTTCTTTTGAAAGCTTCTCATAACCTGGGGATGACATGAGATTGTTTTCGTCTGACAGTATTTCATATACGATCGTTGGGGAAGTTGGTGAATCAACTAGATCTTTTTGTGCTTGTGTTGATATCGTTCCTAAACAACTCTCGGGTCGCATTCTATAAAATTGGCTATTTAATTCTGTTTCCTCTTCCGTACTTTGGGAACCGAAGGTACCGTCTGTAGTAGGTGATGGTTTCGTAATTTTTCCCTCAAAGCTTCTACCTTCTTTCAATCCTCTCGCCCTGTAGAGTGAATCCCAGTAGGAGTGTTCATCGGTTTCACTTCTTTTCTTATATTGTTCTCCGTTTGTCGATTTCGATTCACCTGTCACTTTTCCAATGACTTCTTCGCTGCCCTCGATTAGAACCTGCAACTTTCATTTTTTATCTTACTTAAATTGTGAATTTATGATATTTGCTTTCAAAGCAGAAGACCTCGGTTTTGAGAGCTTATGGCTCGCATACATACAGAAATTACCGTAATATCGTATCGTAATAGATAACAAAGTGATGACTTGATTTGCTCACTCCTTTTCTTATTTTGAAGAGGATAGTTCAGGGGTGTGGTGCAATTCACGCCTCAGTAAAATGAGGTCATTGGACGAGACGCGCTATTACATCGTGCCTACCACCATAATGGGAGAAATGAGAATTTAAAGTAACATAATTTAGAAAAAAATTACCAACTATGCATGTTTGCAGGAGGACTGCGATTTCTAAGATCAAAAAATTTAAGTTGCTCTTATTTTGAACGTTTGACAAGTAAATTGTTGACCTATGAAGGAAATTCTTGATCTCGAAGGGGCTTCATTGCCATAATAAAGAGATTTGCTCTAACATGGTGAAGCCGTGGACTACTGCTAATATTATTCGGTCCATCTCAACAGAAGGGTACTGAAGCGACGCTGCGTGCGCGGAAAACTCTAATGGGGTCACGCGTGAATCGCGCACCCCCCATAGTTACGGTAGTGCCAAACATTAAATTTAAGCTTTACTTGGAGAATCCGAAAAAAAAGTTTTGCTTTTTTACTGTGTTTCACCATTACAATGAAAAACTGCACTTAAATGGGTGCTGAAAGCTGCTGGAAAGTTCTGCCAGGTAGAGTTTGAGTTCGTTAGACGGCCTAGTCATGCATGAGTTAAAAGTGAAAAGGTGTAGATTGGGGTGGTCATTTAACTGAGAGAACTTTTTCTTGCAATACCGTGTCCTTCAGCGTTACCCTTGGGACCCCATACGAATACTTAGGTTCTCGCTTTTAGCGCAGGTAACTCTCTTTATAAACATATCACCTTGTTATATACATCATCGTTGATGGCAAAGCCGACCGTGACAGATGAAGAGTCGTCAGTTTGCCAAGGTAGTTTTTGAGAAACAGGAGACGACAAAAGTTCATCCAACGGCTCAGGCTCGTATCTGGAAATCTGTTCAATGCCTTCTTGAATTCTTTCCAAATCTCTACTCCAAAAGTCATATTGTTCTGCTTCCTTCTGTTGAACTTCTGGTCGCTCAGATTCCTTGACGTCAACACCGGTGGCGACCAATGTTTCCAGCCATGAAATATCTGCTACTACATGGAAAGGTTCGCGAGGTTCAGCAAGTGCCGAGACAGGTTCCAGTTGTGGTGGCGATTTGACTTCCGTGGAATCGATAACCTCAGCAGGCGTGACAATGACTCGCAGATCAGCAAGGTCCGGAACATCATAGTAGGGTTCATATGAATCAGCGTATTCTGGCACTGCTTCTGGTTCAGAAGGATATTCGAATGAAGAGTAAATGCTGCTATCAGCAACTGTAGAATCACTACCATCATGAAGTATCTCATAACATGCAGATAACGGTGATGCTGTGGATGACCTCGATAGAAAGGTGTCTCCTGGAGCGAAAACCCTTTCTCAACAGTATTAAATGTAAAATTATCAACAAGCTTACCGCATGGGACTTCCAGAGCGTCTAATGTATTCCATTTGAGATCGTCCATGTCAATCTCGTTAAAAATATGTAACACAAGTTGGGAGCAAAACTCATGAATTGGGGTAATATCCTGAATATCTTGCACCGCCGCGAATTGTTCGAATTCGGCAAAGATCGTTTCAATAATGGTACGAATAAGATTGTCACAATATGAGTGAAGCGAATATGAGCGTTCTAGTGAGCTTTCATAAAGCTCAAATAAGGCAATAAGAATAACACCAGTTGAGAGCACTTCAGCAAATAATGTAATATTTTGGCCAACATAAGTTGATGAGTGATAATCTGAAAAGGATAAATTTCGCATACATGGAATAAATCGGAATGAACTCCAATTACGGTCTCCCTTAAATAAGTATCATTTTAGTAGACAAGCTGTATACATGATGTTGCTCTATCAAGGAAGGAGTGAACAACGCGCCACCACCCAAATGGTCCGGGAGAAGAACCATGGATACGTAGATGCTTTGATTGCCTCTTGAGCAACAGTCGAGAGAGCCCGACAATGTTTACGCCAACGCTTCAATCTCATTCTACATCCAGGGATGTCAGATCATCAGTGCTCAATAAGGTCCGCCTAACCAAAGCAAGAGGGACATAAAGTTTCGGATCCCTCTCGTAACCCTGTACTAACATCGCTTTACCCTCCTCAGTCTGAATGATAGACTATTCCCTTTCAACAGCCCTGAGTGGAAAATCCCAAGCTTAATTCAGAAGCAATCACAGTGAGCCGGGGAGGGGAGGGAGGAGGGGGGGGGGGGGGGGGGGGGGGGGGGGGGTGATTAAGGGTCCTATCAACTAATCTTGGTCCATGAATGACGAAGAATTCGTCTCCACCTCCAATTTAATTCATATTAGATGCTCCCTTGTGGGTTTTTTGATACTAATGCTTTCATGTTCTTAGCCACTTACCAGAAACCCATTGAATATTCATGAAATCGCCATCGTAGTCCAATGTGTCAAACCATTTCGATAGACGTTTTCCAAACATCTCTATACGGCTCTTTAAGTTTGTTTGAGACCACTCCGTAGTTTCTGAGAACACATTTCATGAAGTAGACAAATTCGGTTCAAGACATCCACAATAAATTACCTCGCGGCATCTCCACACCATATTGTCGTAATAAAGGCACTTTAGACGTCACAGCGGTTGCACTAATCGTAACTGTGGTATCTGCAATAACAAAAATTTTCACCATACTGTTTACTAGATTTGCAGAATTGTGTGAAGTAAGAGGTGACCTTCTGGTATGGAGTCCATTTGCACGAGATCGCCACGTTCCATACTGTCCTCAGAAATTTCCTCAACACTAAATCGTCTTTCCGGATCAAGCTTCGTCTTCCGAATCCGTCCATAACGCGACAAATGCCGGCCATCAACTACGACTCTGGCGGCTCGACGAGACTCTTCCGCTCTTCGAAGAACCTAAAAGGAACTTAGTAAACTACGAAGAGAATTAGAAACTCTTGCAATGGTAATTTTCACATTGGTTCCTATCGTAAGTTGAATTCATTCACCTCGAACATCATCTTTATCCTCGAACAGGCACACCCTTCAAAAGAAAACACGGAATTCAGGGTAGCTAATATAAAAAATCTTGGCTGGACATCACGTCATTGGTAGGAGGTCCTAGCCGCCAATGGCATGGTGTCTACCTGGGGTTTCACCCAGTTAGTATGTAATGGTCCCCAGGTGCACCACTGATTTACAGTACTCCCAATTTATTTTGAGCAATGCATGAATGAGGACTCACATCACTAATGTGTTCTCGTTGTTGCTCCGGAAGTTCCTCCAAAACATTTTGGATGGAGGTCGAAGTTGATGGTTCAGCTTGCAGCGATTCAATTTCATTTGGGGATACCTATAAAGAATACAGAATGACGTCATTCATTCTCATGGGGAAGCACCTGACAATTTTGAGTATTTGTAAAAAGTTACTTGATCTCATATGTTCAATACTTTGGATTCGTAAATAGACAATAAGTAATAAACAAGTAAATAAATAACAAACAGACTTCTTGGGAAGAACAAGAATAAAAAATAATTTTTGTTGCAACTAAAGGCCTGGGATGAAATGATGATGTAAAAGAGTCGACACACCTGAATCAAAGGTATCCGTCTTAGAAAGTAATGTCATGAAACCCACATGGCACCTACCGAAAAACCTGGTCAGGGCAGGCGTGGGGAAAGTACAATCTGATGCACCCTTGGAAGAGATGTAGCGTTCACTGCAAAAGCATCGCCCCTGACAGAGGAGTGATGAGTTTCTTCTGAGCTATTCTTCGATTATCCGTGAAACTAGACGCGGTTTTCATGATAGCATAAGTAAAGGAAAAAGGGTCGCCAGCTGTAGTCAACCGCATTGAAAATGGGCCTTTAACTCCTACCAAGAAGTCTTCCGAGGTCGTATTTGGTCTTATTACCCGACAATGTTTATGTATGTTTCCCTATACTCCGTGCTGGATCTAACATCAACTGCTCGATTTCGAAAGAGTAGAAAGTTAGGTTGACCTTTGCGGGGATCGATCTGGCTTCTACGAGATTGAGTGCATTTCGCCACCACATCGCAGGGCCCAAATCTGCACTTTTTCGCTCAACATATGATATCGAAAGTGGGGGACATATAAAAGAGCAATTGGGCTTAAGGAAACGAACGGGTCTGTATCGGGTACCAAAAATTTCAAAATGATTATATAGAACGAAGCCATTTACCTCTTTGACTTCTTGCTCCTGTCCGTCGTTGTTCTCACCTTCTTCTTCGTTTTCTTCAGGAATTCGCTCCGTTACTGCGCTGCTGTAAATGAGATGGTAATGAAAAAGAACTACTCGGCTCGAAAATACGAAGCCTAGCCTATAGCGATGATTGTGGGGGGAAAACGAATTCGCTCAAGCTCTCCTCGTTAGTGGATCATTTTTCTTCAGTTTCCGGCCGTACCAGAGAAAAAGGACGACCTTTTGTGGGTTTGGAGCAGTTTTTACCTCCACACACTTTTTTATTCCACGCCCATGCTCATTAGTCATTTTTCGTTGGGTGGTTTTCGATGCCCACCTTTGCCCAGCAAACTCTTTCATCAAAAAACAGTCGGCTCTTTGCACTTTGGATTAGTCATTGCCCAATTGGATGCTGTACACCCTCAGCAAGCCCATTCTGAGGCTAATCACTTGGGCACCCCAGCTACGACTGACATTTGCAAACGGAAGTTCCCGACAAAAACTCCTCAGGTTCTGAGGGAGGCATAGGAATATTAAGACTTACTCAACCTAAAAGTGCAGTAGTAGCTACGTAGCAATAAAATGACATACAACAAGTCGTTTAAAAGAAAAAGACAGTAAAAGTAATAAAGGGGAAACAGAAGTAGCACTTACAGTAAGTAGGAAAACCAGGATGACATTTTAGACAGTGAATAATTTCGAGAATATCATTTGTATCGGTCCCGTCAACGGAACCAACACTGTCGTTGATTTGTTTCTGAAACACTGGAATCAGGAAATTCACGAAAAGCTTATCAGAGCGCAAAAGAGCGAGAAAGTCAAAATGCGAAAGTTTCTTGTTCTGTTGAATATTCAACAGCAAATTGAGAAGAAAAAACAAATCCTCTGAGAAAGGTTTGCTCTGAGAGTCGACGAAATTCCAATAAAAACGGATTTTGCTAATCTGCCTACTACAAGAGCAATCATGAAACGAAGAGCGTTCAAGCTAAGAATATGTAAAATAAATGTCAAGGTGCAGTCATACGGTAAATGCCATGCTTCTGCGGGTTGAAATTCCGAGTTTGATGGGGTTGCTAGGAAAGAACTACTAGGTTTTAAAGGTTACTTGAGTACATGATGGATTCATCTCTCATGAGAATGCTCTGCACAGACACCTGTTTAGATGATGAAACCATACAAAGGGGAATAAAGACATAAATAAAAAGTAAAAAGGATACAAGAATTTATGAAAAGTAAGAGAAAGAAAGGCAGTTGAAGTCACAGTTCACGATAATTTTGAGGAACCCGTTTTTATTCGAAAAACGG